CTTTCTTCTGAAGTACCTCTGGGTTGGACTCAAACATCTCACCTTCAGTTCTCAGCTGAGCATTTCCACTGTTGATACCACCCAGCGACCTAGGATGTTAATTCCATTATAGAATTTCTCTTTCTCTCTTTTTCTTCTACTACGTACTTCTCAGCTGATGATTGGAGTCCCTGGTGGAGCAAAGGGCTAAGTGCTCAGTGGCTAACTGAAAGCTTGGTGGTTTGAATCTACCTAGAGTTGCCCAGGAACAAAGGCCTGATGATCTGCTTACAAACGCTCACTGCACACATGGGGTGGTTATGAGTCCCGATTTGTTTTTGTAAACTTTTTATTGTGACTTGAGTGAAAGTGTACTGAGCAGATACCAGTTTTACATCCAACAAATCACATGCATTGTTTCATTACAATGATTGCAGTCCCATCCATGTACCATCAATTAACAGTGGCTACCTCTAGTCACTGAGTCCTGGCGTGGCGCTGTGGGTTAATGCGCCAGACTGCAAAGCCATTTTAACTGCAAGGTCGGTGGTTCAGGCTCACCAGCTGCTCCTTGGAAACCCTATACAGGGTCGCTATGGGTTGGACTTGACGGCACTTAACAACAACAACCTCTAACACAGTGTAACTCTTGTGTCCCTCCCTGTGTCTCCCACCACCTTCATCTTTCCTTTGCCAGCCTCCCTCTTGTATATTGTGTGTCCCGTCACCCATGTCAACATGTGTCTACCCAGTGATTGAGTGGTGGCTGTGTGCCGTGGATTCGGTTCCGACTCATAGGGACCCTGTACAGGTTTTCTGAGGCTGTAAATCTTTACTGGAGCAGAACGCCTCATCTTTCTCCCACGGAACAGATGATAGTTTCGAACTGTTCACCTTGAGGTTCGCAGCCCTATTCATAACCACGATACTACCAGACCTCCTTAGTGATTGAGTAGACCCATGCTAATTGGGCGTCTACCCAGTGAATGGAGTCCTGGGATGGTGTTGTAGAATAGCACTCGGCACAAGGTCGGTTTGAACCACATGGGTGGCAGTTCAAACTCACCAGCCACCACTCGGAAACCCTATACAGGGACTGTATGCGTCGGAACCAACTCTACGACACATAGCAACAACCACCACCCAGTGAATACTTTTTCTTTTTCTCCCAATCCTGGTAACCATCATAGAATGCTTATCAAAAAAAATCTTGTCTTAAATTTTTACACTCGTGGTCTCATACAATAGTTGCCCTTTTGTGATTGACTCGTAGTCTCATACAATAGTTGCCCTTTTGTGATTGCTTGCTGAAAGTGAAGAGGACTTGAAACATTTACTGATGAAGATCAAAGAGCACAGCCTTCGATATGGATTACATCTCAATGTCAAGAAAACAAAAATCCTCACCACTAGACCAATAAACAACATTCTTATCAATGGAGAAAAGATTGAAGTTGTCAAGGACTTCATTCTTCTTGGATCAACTATCAACACTCGCGGAAGCAGCAGTCAAGAGATCAGACGACGTATTGCATTGGGCAAATCTGCTGCACAGGAACTTTTTAAAGTATTGAAGAGCAGAGATGTCAGCTTGAGGACTAAGGTGCGCCTGACCCAGGCCATGGTATTTTCAATAGCCTCATATGGATGCAAAAGCTGGACAGTGAATAAGGAGGATCGTAGAAGAATTGATGCCTTTGAGTTGTGGTGTTGGAGGAGAATACTGAAAGTGCCATGAACTGCCAAAAGAACCAATAGATCAGTTTTGGAAGAAGTGCAGCCAGAGTGCTCCTTGGAGGCCAGGATGGCTAAGCTTTGTCTCTCATACTTTGGACATATTGTCCGGAGGAAACAATCGCTGGAGAAGGATGTCATGCTGGGTAGGGTGGAGGGTCAGAGAAAAAGAGGAAGACCCCCAACGAGATGGATCAGCCAGGTGGCATCATTGATGGCATCAAGTGTGGCAGCGGTAGTGAGGTTGGCCCAGGATTGGACATTGTTTCGTTCTGCTGTGCATGGGGTCACTATGAGTCAGTTCCGACTCGATGGCACCTGACAACAACAACAACAAGTTTCACTCAGCATAATGTCCACCACCAGGTTCATGGCTGTTCTTCCATGTTGTGTAATAGTACGTCGTGTGTCTGTACCAGATTTTGGTCAGCCTTGCTTCTGTTGAAGGGTATTTAGGCAGTTTCTATCTTTTGGTTACTTTGAATAGTGCTACAGTGAACAGGGGTGTGTTCATGCCACGACTCTTATTCGACGACAACATCATAGTTTTAATTATTGTTGTCACCTAGCCTGGGCTCCCATGGTAGTGAGGGCCTGGTCACTGAGAGCCCAGGCGACCTTCCGGGCCCTGCTGGGAGGCGGGGTGTAGGGAGGGGAGAGCCACGGTCCGTGTGTTTGTGAAGACGTGGAGTGTGGGGTTTGGGGTGGGGTGGGAGGTGGTAAAAGTGCCTTTGAAAATTGAATTGGGGGAAAGTTCTTGGGAAAATCCCATTATCTTTCACTTGCATTTTTCCATCAACTTTTTGAAAGCTTGTGTATGGTGATCACCCGAGAGGAATTCCATGGTTTGTCTCTAGAAGTCCAGCCTCACTTGCTCTGATTGATTCTGTACACACAGTTCACGTTGGAAATGAGTTACGATGCGTTTCTTCCTAAGTAGTTCCCTTTATATACCACGTTCTGGTAGCACGAGGGTTCACGTTTCTATCTCTATAAAGAAAGAATCTGCTCATTGAGACTGGGTGTGGGACCGCGGGATGATCACGTTCAGGGCAGCCGGGAAGTAACCTTTATGAAAAGTTTCCGTGACCAAGTCTGAGAGCAGGGCTGCTAATAGGGTCTGCTGAGCCGCGCTGCTGCTGTGTGTGATCATGCCGTACGGGTCAGCGGTCATGGCTCTGGCCTGTTTCCACTCGTTCTCGGATACCTGAGGCTAGAAAGGCACAGAGTGCTTGTAAGCAACCTGTCCTTCCTCTGGAGGGCACAAAGGCCCGTCCCTCAACTCTGTACCGAGGTGTGTGGTGACATTGTGATTGTCCTTTCTTGTCCTAAAATGTCATTCTCTGCTTTTCCAAAAATGTGCCATTTTGTTTTCTTGTAGGATTTGGAGTTCCATGGAGTTATGAGATTTTATTTTCAAGACAAAGCCGCTGGGAACTTTGCAACAAAGTGTATTCGTGTCTCTAGTACTGCCACAACCCAAGATGTAATAGAAACACTGGCGGAGAAATTCCGACCTGACATGCGGATGCTGTCGTCTCCCAAATATTCCCTGTACGAGGTGCACGTCAGCGGAGGTCAGTGTGTGTGTGTGTGTGCGCGCGTGTGTGCGCCTGCAGGGAGGGTGAGGTGTGCCACCTGTCCGGGGAACACTTTAACCACTCTCTGCCCTACCCGCTTCCTCCTCATTCGCTCTGTGTTTTGGGGATTGGAGTGATTAATCATGGGTTGACCAACCTTCTGTATGTCTGGAAAATGGTACCTACTTCTGTTAGATGTTAAAATGAAAGTACTCACTTGAATCTACTTTATTTCTCTAAAGATAAGTAGTGTTGACATTTTATAATTGAAGGTGCCTACGGTTCTGGGTGTTAGGTACAGGATGATCCATGTTGTGTGCTCCCTGCTTTTGAAGCAATACTTTCTGTAACTCTTGTGTATAGATTATAATATTCTCATTCTACCCCAGTTAAATACTGAGTATGAACCAACTGTCTTGCCATACTTTTTTGCAGTTTGAGATAGTGGGTTTTCATTTTTCTTTGGGAATAATTAGGGCATCTTGGGGAAACCCCATTATGCAGATAGTGATTCTCTTTGCGTGAACACTGACATTTCTGACCAATCCTGTCTGGTTATACTGTGTCAGAGGGCCCTTGAAGTGGTGCTGGCTGGGGAAGAAGACATTCCCAGCGTACACTCGGAAAGTGTTGAGTAGCTGGTACAACAAGCAAATGGCAGATGCTGCGCGGATGCAGGATTAGCTGTAGTAGGAAGTCAGTGGGCCCCCTTTATCGTCACCCCACACCCTTGTCTTGACTTCAGAACCGTAACATGTGCTGTGTATTTGCATTTGGACTGAAGTATTTATAATGTGTGGAACTTTTCAGTGTGACCATACTCTTGTTGGTGTGAGTGTATAACTCCAGGACCACATATCACGTTTTCAGGTGATGATAGGGCCACCTGCATAAATCGTCCCCACACTGATAGAACAAGAGAGGCGCTGGTCTCAGCTGTGGAAACCTGTCACTCCCAGCCTTGCTTCTGTCTCTGTGTTGGGTCATTTGAGTCCCACCCAGTCAAGTCTTGAGGAATAACATGATAGCAGATTGGAACTGAAAATCTAAAAATTGAATGGTTTTGATTTTTCTTTAAGACCTTTTTTCCTTTAAGTTTTCCTCACTAGATTTGTTTGCAATGAGAGTAAGATTTGCATCCGTGAGCAGAGGTGGCAGGTCTGGCTGATTCCCGTGCGGAGAGCTAGGGTGTGAGGTCAGAGGGCACAAACGCCCTGGTGCTCAGGGCTCAAGGACCGGACACGTTCGACTCAACTCCGGCAGACAGGTTCATATACCTACCTTGGTAGGTGTTTGAAAAATAATACACACAGATACTCAGGGAAGGTGGCCACACACACCGCAGTCCCTGCCTTAGAATCCCATCCTGGAGCAAATGTCCCGTCCTTCTGAGCCTCCCTTTTCCTCCCAGCTTCTTGTAGGTGGGCCAGCAGGGAGGCCCAAGCAGAAACACATTCAATTTCCCGCATATGGGGAAGTGTGTGTACACCACATCTAGCACCTCAACCTTGCCAATAAGCAGATGGAGACAAGCCTCGGGTGCACAGAGGTGGGACAAGCTGGGCGGAGCTCTGGTGAGGAGAAGACGTCTGGCAGGTGTTTGTGGCTGGACATGGGGATGTACACAGGCCATAGCAACAACAGTGTTGGGTTAGCAAGTTAAACTCTGCTGTAGCAATTTGAATTACACAGTAGGTACTTGAGGTAATGAGGTTTTATATTTATAAAGTTAAATATATGGCTTCGCTGTTTTGTTTTGTTTCATTTCATGTTTTGAAGAAGAAAGAAGATTGGACATAGATGAGAAGCCTCTTGTGGTGCAGTTGAATTGGAACAAAGATGACCGGGAGGGCAGATTTGTTCTTAAGAATGAAAATGATACAATTCCTCCTAAGGTGGGCACTTCCGATGTCTTGTGTTGCTTTAGGTTCCAGGGTGCAGGTCTGATGGAAATAACAGGATTAGGGTTTGCCCGTTTTCTCCTTCCTCTCCCTAAGCCCTTGAAGAGTATCACAGTGGCCCAGCTCCTGCCTTGACTCTGTTTCTCGGGGTGAGCAGGCTGCTGCTCCTCAGTGTTCACTTTATCACCTCCAGTTTTCTTTCTTTGAAATAAGTCAAAACCTGTTTTAAAAAAATCAAAAGATAAAATAAGACATTAATAGCCTCCTTATCTGTGAACTTTCAGGTGCAACTTCATAGAGTGCATTTAAAACCTTTTTCATAGCATAAATCATTCCGTTTCCCTGGGTGTTTTTGTTAGATGGAATAGCACGATTTTATAACTTTCATTCGGGCCGCCGGTGCTGCCGCTCTTCCTTGGGCAGTACGGTTTTAGTGTGATTGAGAATACCTATAATTCTGTGCTAAATCAGACGGCAGCTTGCTTACACTAGAATTCGGTATTGGTAAATGGTAGCAAATGTGTACATCCGCACCTTACTGTTGACAAAGACCAGGCCAATATGTGAAAACCAGCATTATGCCAAAATGACCACATGCATCCATTCCATAACCGACAAATTACATCCCTCCCTGCCACTAAATCACGGCTCAGGCAAGTGTGGGGGAGGGACTTCACCTTCACAGCCAATCTGCGGTTTCTGACAAAATAGTCAGATCGTAGATGTTCCGCTGTTGGTGTGAATGCAGCATTGGCTAGTGGTAAGCAAGGAGCTGGGGGATTTACAGCTGATTCTCACTTCTAGCAGCAGGAGAACGCCATCTTGTTAGTGAGATGTCAGAACGTCACGTTCTGATGCCGGAGCGCACGCACACAGTTTGTGCCCTAATTTGTCACTGTCTTCTGTGACTGCTGTGTTAGCAAATGCATACTGAGTAAGACGAGACAAGCTTGCTCTCACACCTGTGTGTAGTTGCAGCTGATGGTATTCTCTTTGATAGAACTTGCTGTGAACTATAGACTGACGTGTATTAGAAGGATTCCAGAACTATTGTTATCCTCTAAGCAGATAGAGGCTGAAAAATGACCATGCTTTCCATCCTTAGGTTATCAAACAGCAGCTTTCTTTTCCAATAAAATAGCCATTATTTTCTTACTTTACTCTAGTACAGCATGCACGAAAGTAACTTGTTTTGGTGTCATTTGATAGCAGGCCATGTGCATAAATTACAGTATAAACCAGTAATAAGCAAGAAAGTAAACGAGATCTGGAAAAGTAGCTAGGGATATTTACACACTAATTCAGGTTTACTTCAGAAAAGCCAGTTTACAATGGCTAATCTTAAAGTTCCTTTTGATGTTAAAGAAAAACATCTATAAAATGATCATGAATTCAACTCTAAGTTATTTTTATGTTTTCATTAAGATTCCTTTCATCAGATTGCTTTATGTACATTCCTTGTATTTTCACGTATTGACAGTCAGATTTTATCTTTCCCATCCCAGTTTTCTTAGCGACTTTGGGTTGGTTTTGCTTGCCTTGTGCATTTCAGATAGAGGTAACGCGGGCACGCTGGGCAGTGCACAGACCTTGAGTGTGCAGTTCAGTGACTCCCTGTCAGTGCATACACACCTGTGCCACCACCAGCCTCTGTCCTTTGTCCCGCTAGCTTTGACTCTGGCTGTAGTGTGTGGTGTGAAGTTGGCAACACCGCAGGAGACTTGTGTGCCGTGTTGAGTAGCCCTAATGGTGACAGTGTTCCTTTTACCAGAAGGCTCAGAGTAACGGACCGGAAAAGCAGGACAGAGAAGGCGTCATCCAGAACTTCAAGAGAACGCTGTCAAAAAAAGAAAAGAAGGAGAAAAAGAAGCGAGAGAAAGAGGCATTGCGACAAGCATCTGATAAAGAAGAGCGGCCGTTCCAGTCCGATGACATGTAAGTGCATGTGGGCCACACTCCCCGTTTATGCAGTCTTGCAGCAGATCTTGGGAGCTGAGCGGAGTTGCGAGAGCAGCACAGAAATGCTGCGCACATCTAGGTCTGGGTTTCTGTACTGACCGAGACCTGGGGTCTTAGCTAAACAAGATTCCAGGCTGGAAAACCCCTCTGTGCCCACACTTTCTAATCATAAACAAAGTCAACACTCTGGTTACAATGGCTGTGTCTTGGTGTAGTGGGCTATAAGAGAACAACAAAGTCAGGGCCACTCGTGACAGATGTCCCTTCATGGGCACTAGGCCTTTACTTCCCATTGTGTTTTCTGGGCTGCTCGGTCACCACTGCTGCTTCATGGCCCTGAAATGTGCACAGCACCTGATGAAGCTGCCCGGAAGTGTGACTTCTTTCCGTGGCTCCATCCTGTACCCTGTCCACATTCCTCTGTCTGGTCCACAAAGTCTGGTACTGGCTGCAGACTCTCAGGCAGTCTGCTGTTGGCCTTGGTGCTGACTGGGTAGCCTTCTGGGTTTGACTTTTCTTTTACTCCTGAATTAAGGTCATATGCATTCGTTTTTGTTGCTGTTGTTAGGTGCCGACTCATATGCATAACGGAATGAAACACTGCCCAGTCCTGTGCCAACCTCTCAATCGTTAGGCTGGAGCCCATTGCTGCTGTCACTGTGCCAGTCCATCTCGTTGGGGGTTCTCCTTTTCTTCTCTGACCCTCCGCTGTACCCAGTGTGATGTTGTTCTCCAGCGACTGGTCCCTCCTGATAATATGTATGAAGTATGAGAGATGATGTCTGGCCCTCCTGGCTTCCAAGGAGCATTTTGGTACTTCTTCCAGTGCAGATTTCTTTGTTCTTTTGGTGGTCCATGGTACTTTTAATATTCTCCTCCAACACCAGAACTCAGATGCATCAACTCTTCTACGGTCTTCCTTGTTCACTATTTGACTTTCGCATGCATATGAGGTTATTGAAAATACCACGACTTGGGTCAGGCACACTTTAGTCCTCAAGCTCACATCTTTGCTCTTGAACACTGTAAAAAAGAGGTCTTGTGCAGCAGATTTGCCTAATGCAGTAGATCATTTGCTTTCTTGACTGCTGCTTCCAGGAGTGTCGGTGGTTGGTCTGAGCAAACGGAAGTCTTTGGAACTGTCAGTCTTTTCTCCATTTATATGGTTATAATTTGTTGGTCCAGTGGTGAGTCTTTTTGTTTGCTTTACGTTGAGGTGCAACGCATACTGAAGGTCTTTGTCTTCGTCAGTATTTTAGTCCTCTTAGCTTTCAGTAAGCAGGGTTATATCATATGAAAATTCAGGCTGTTAATAAACTTTCCTCCCATTTTGATACTATGTTTTTCTACATACAATCCATCTTCTCGGGTTATGTGCTCTGAATACAAATTGAATAATTATGGTGAAAGCATACAACCCTGACACACAATTCTCCTCATTTTAAACCATTTAGTGTTTCCTTGTTCTGTTCACACAACTGCCTCTTGGTGTATTTACAGATTCCTCATGAGAAAACTAAGTGTTCTGGAATTCTCTTCTCTGCGTTGTTGCCGTAGCTTGTCGTGACTCACACAATCTCAAGCCTTTGTGTAGCCATCAAAGTATTCCTGTGGTATTGTAGGATAAGCACTGAACTGCAAGTGGTTCAGACTGACCAACAGCTCCTCAGAAACCCTATGGATTCTGAGGATTGCTGTGAGCCAACTCAACTGCAGTTAACAAGAACTACAGACTCTTTCTGGTCTTCTCTGCTTTGAACCCAAATCCATCTAACGTCAGCACTGATTCCTTCTTTGTACGTCCTCATCTGAATCCAGCTTGAACTTCTGGAAGCTCTCTGTCAGTGTACTGTTGGAGCTGTTTTTGAATTATCTTAGACAAAATTTTACTTGCATGTGATTTTGACACTGATGATTTCCACATTCCGTTAGGTCACCTCTCTTTGGTGGAAGGGGCACAGATATGGATCTCTTCCCATCAGTGACCAGGGAGCTGTCTTCCAGATTTCTTGGCAGAGATGAGTGAGTGCCTCCAGTGCTGCATCGGTTTGTTGAAAGAATGCAATTTGTTTTCCATCAGTTCCCGGTGCCTTGTTCTTTGCCAATTCCTTCAATGCATTTTGGACTTCTTCCTCCAGTATCATTGGCTCTTGATCATATGTGGCGTCACTCAGCATCATGCTAACCTACAATAGAGCGATTTTCTAGTCTGTGTGCTCTATACAGACATGCACACTGGAAGGATAATAGAGAGTTTGTAAACAGAGTTTATGAAGAGATAGAATCATCGTGTCTGGAAACGGGATGTTGTCAGCTCTCAGAAGCATTGGAATGGAGAGTGGTAACACCATACTCTCACAGCTCTTCCTTCGGGTGTGCTCGGCTTTTGGTAGTACAAGTACTGCTGCTGCTTTGACCACTCATGTGAATGTTTACTGAGCACGGTGAGCTGAGCCTTTAAAAAACAGTGGGTGCTTCTCCACATTTGGTACCGCCGCCAGGCTGCCATCTAGAGAGTTGTACCTCTGTCCTTCTCTGCGCCTGTGTGTGGGCACGTTCTGTACCCTCCAAATGTTGCGTGCCACAGAGCACTGTAACGTCTCCATGTCTCTCCACGCTTAGTAAACCTGCATACTCTTGGGTCAGAGTAGAATCCTGAAGCCTTGTCCATTTTAAAATGACCGTTTTCAAGAACTAAGGTTCACTGTGGAGCAGGACACTCCTGTTTGGAGTGTTCCAGAATGTGTTCAGAAGCACTAAACACTAATTCCTCTGTAATGAACTGGGATGCTGGTATAGTTAGGATTACACGATAAGACCCTACTTTGTGTAGTTATACAAGAGATGAAACTTCCATACATAGGGTGTTCATACATGAAAATGGCAAAGAGCAGGAGTAAAGTCTAGTGTTTTATTTAGCATCTCGGTTTATGGAATGATGTATGTGTCGAGAACATGAGCAACTTAGCAAGCATGAGGTTCTTCAATTGGAAAGGTACAAAGCTTGCCTGGTTTTGAAGATTAAGTTACTTTTTCTGATGAAAACCTATGTTTTTAGAGGATGTTTATCAGAATTCAGTTGAGTGATCAGTTTTTCCATTGTTAGGGTGCAGTTCAGGCGATTCCTCTTTATGGCAGCTACTGAAGGATTTTTACTGTTGAAAATTTCACTTCAAGACTATGAACATTGGAAAATCTCTAGGTGTTAAAATCGTGGTATTTCGCTGAGTTCGTCATGGTTTACTATAGTTTTTAGGGAAATTCATGTTGCATTTTTCATCTGGTTTTTTTTTTGGTTGGGATGTTGTGACTTAATATGTAGAAATTACTGTAATGTGTAATTTTTACATTTTTCTTTTAGATTTCTTAATGAATAATTTACACATTTTTGCTATAATTAACTCAATTAAGTGATACAAGGGCACTGTAGTGTAAATGATCCCATCAAGCAGTCTGTGTGGAGTGAGTGCTCATCCCTTCACTTCCTGGAGCTCCCTGGGTCTTCTGTGTCTAGAAGCAAGAATGAGCAGTTGGGTGGGTTCTGTGGACATTCAGCAAAGTCTTGCAAGGCATGTTCCTCAGGTGAGGGTCCAGGCAACGCCCCCAGGCAATAACCCTTGTGATAAATGTCTGAGACAAAGACTCCCTAGGTACAGCTGGCCTTATCTCTTCAGACGGGCTTGGGAGGGATAATGGTTTTATTGGGGAGCATGACTTAGACAGAGATGGAATAATCTTTTCAGATGAGGGTAAGAGGACTGGTTTTCCTGGCAGAACTCTGTGGTTCTGTGCTCCCAGCTTCCTGGTTATCTACACTTGGCTCCCACCCCAAGTGTAAGGGTCCCAGTTGGTGCTGCAAATCAGCCACTCTTACAGAAGACGGGGTGTGACTTTTGGCGATATCTCTTCTGTGTAAGAAACAGGCACAAGTGTCAGTGTCCAGGGACCCACGTGGTGCTTGGACTGAGACACCAACGCCATAGCCTCATTCCCTTCTTCCCCCACTTTAGTAGGAGTAGGACCAACAACCAGCTTCCTCATACTGTGTGTTCTGAAGGGTGCAGAAAGGATCTGATATTCAGTCATCCAGAGTCTTGATTCTCACAAGTAGTGGTGAGAAAGAACACACTTATCTTTTCTCAAGTTGAAACAACTGAAGAAAAATTCAAGCCTGGAGTTTTCTATGAATTTTCAAAGATTCTATGAGTAAAATTTTGACTGATGCAGCAAGACTCATAAACAACCTACAGCAATGCAGAGGACACAACCTCACTCGCTGAAAACGCAGACGACTTGAGGCATTTACTGATGAAGATCAAAGAGCACAGCCTTCAGTATGGATTACATCTGAACATAAAGAAAACAAAAATCCTCACAACTGAACCAGTAAGCAGTGAAGGAACTATTGAAGATAGTCAGGATTTCATTTTAATATGATCCACAGTCAAAGTTCACGGAAGCAGCCGTCAGGAAATCAAAAGATGCGTTGTATTAGGCAAAGCTGTTGTAAAAGACTTCTTTATTTTTCTAGGTTTAGTTAATGAATGACATGTTTTTTGTTTTTTTAACTTTTTAATGTAAGTTGAGTGAAAGTTAACAGACAAGATCATCAGCTGTTTCATCTCAGTGATTGCAATCCCCTCCCTGCAACAACAGTGATCCTGCTTCCTCCCTGTGACTTCACTTTACTTCTTGCATTTCACAAATGAACCAAGCAAAAATATTTGATACACACATACAAATATATACATATGTACATATATATTCATTTATATACATGTATGTTGTTGTTGTTATGTGCCGTGGAGTTGGTTCTGACTCAAAGCAACCCTGTACTGGGTTTCCGAGGAGCTCTGGTAGCATAGTGGTTAGGAATCGGGCTGCAAACCGGAAGGTCAGCATTTTGAAACTGTCAGCTGTTCCGTGAGAGAAAGATGAGGATTTCTGCTCCCATAAAGATTTATAGCCTCAGAAACCCAGTACCGGGGTCGCTATGAGTCGGAACCGACTCCATGGCACATAACCACCACCACCACCATATTCATTTATATATGTACATATATACACATATATATTTATTTAAATGTCCTAAGGGCACTGGTAGTGTAGTGGTTACGAATTGGGCTGCGAACCTTAAGGTCAGCGGTTCGAAACTGCCAGCCGCTCCGCGGGAGAAAGATGAGGCTTTCTACTCCCGTAAGGATTTACACCCTCGGAAACCCTGTACAGGGTCGCTATGGGTCGGACCCGACTCGATGGCACTTAACAACAACAACAACAACAAGGGCATGTTCTACAAGCCAGCCTCCTGACTGCACGCACACACCCTTCCTCATTCCATGGGCCTCGTGCCCGCAGCTGCTTTGTCTCTGCATGCCAATGCCTCTGCCGCCATCTCTGCTGTCTCTCTGCATGCCATTGCCTCTGCCGCCATCCCTGCTATATCTCTCTCCATGCCATCACCTCTGCCACCATCACCGCTGGTTTAGGTGGGCTGTCCTACTCCAGTCATGCTCTTCATTCTGGACGGTCCTGGGATCGTCTGGTCCTGAAATGAAGCCCTAACTGCTCCCCCTTTTAGTTAACACATCTTCTACAATTACGGCTGTGACAGTCACAATGAATCCTGCTAACAATTACTCGTAAATGAATCATAAAATGCTTCCAGCATCCTCCCCCATCTTTCTTTACCAGATCCATCTGGAAAAGAGGAAAAACTATTCGGTGGGGAGTCTACCTTACTTCCCTCGTTCTAAAACTAAGTATACTCAGGAACGCTTGTAAGCCAGCCACTTTGGCCTTTATAGCCCCCCCATTTTTGATAACCAGTGTCTAGATTGCCCATCCCTATCAGTCCAGTGCACTGAGAAAACAAGCTTAAGCCTTGATTTTAAGAACGTGTCAATTCCAGTTGAAATTTTGAGCAAGTGCATCCATAGACAAAGGTCCAGTTCACAAATTGACAAGGTCAATGGTTCAAACTCACCAGCCGCTCCTTGGAAACCCTATACGTGGTCACTGTAAGTCAGAATCGACTCGATGGCACTTAACAGCATCAATAACAACACAATATTAAGAATCTTTATCTTTATCTGCTCAAGTTCTGATCAATTGGGTACCAGTTGCAAGTTTGGAAGTTCATGCCTGCCTCCCCGACATCAGACCAGCTGTCCATTTCGCCCTCAGCTCCACCCCTCAGTGGCTAGGTCAGTGTCTGTGGACTTAGACTTTCACAGATCTCCCTAAGATTCAGACCAGCCAGCCCTTCCTCTTCTCTCTCATCTCAAGGACAGTGGGTGCCACTGGAGCCAGGACCAAACTCAGCCCTGTTTTCATTGGTACAGCTCCCACACTTCCACTCACAGGCAGACCCAGTGGTCACCAGGGGGCACACTAGAGTGCTTGCAGGTGCCCTCTTGGAGTTTAAAGTGTTGAGAAGCAGAGGTGTCACTTTGAGGATTAAGGTACATGTGACCAAGCCATGATATTTTCAGTCACCTTGTGTGCATGTGAAATCTGGACAGTGAAGAAGAAAGACCAGAGAGGAATTGCTGCCTTTGAGTTCTGGTGTTGGAGGAGAATGTTCAGTACACCATGGACTACCAGAAACACAAGCAGATCTCCCTTGGAAGAAGTAACAACCAGTGTTCCTTACAAGTGTGGATGGCGAGACTTCGTCTCTCCTTTTTTTGACATGTTATCACGTTGGATTAGTCCTTGGAGAAGAACATCATGGAGGGTCAGCGAAAAAGAGGATGGCCCCTGTGGAATGGATTAGCACAGTGCCAGCAAAGGGCTCAAATGTAGCTGTGATTGTGAGGAAGGGGTAGGACCAGCCAGTGTCTCCTTCGGTTTTGCATAGGGTCGCTGAGTCAGAACGGATTCAGTGGCACGTAACTGTAGTACCAGTGTGTACTGAGGCACACTGACTTGATGACTTAGTAATCAGACCGTGGTGGGGTACACAGCAAACCTATTATGGAGGGTTGTCACTAATTTTAAAATAAACAAGAGATGCAAACAAATCAGGTGCTGTGTATTCACTCTGGACTCGTGGTGACATGTCACTGTGCCCCATAGAGCCCTTCAGCTCATAGTTGAGTGCTGAGCTGTGTGTATCGCACAGAACACCTGCCCTCAGATGGGGCACATCCAACCCAGTCACAAAGACCGTTCTGAAAAGCAACGGGTATGATACAGCAATGTGTCTGTTTCTAATAGGCAAAAACCTTTAGAAACTATCACGGGTGGTTTTGTGCTTGCAGTGAGAATTCTCGACTGGCTGCTGAGGTTTACAAAGACATGCCAGAGACCAGCTTTACCCGGACCATCTCGAACCCTGAGGTTGTGATGAAGCGGCGGCGACAGCAAAAACTGGAGCAGAGGATGCAGGCGTTCCGGAGCACAGATGGACGACCCGACTCAGGTACGGGCTCCGCTGCTTTGTGTGGTGGCTGTTGGTGTAGGAGTGAGGCTGACCTCAATGACAGCACTGGGTGATGATGTCGCTGTGACATGCTGAGGGGTTCTAACTCGTGGTGACACGGTCAGACAGAGTACAGCTGCCAAATAGGGCTTCCTAGGCTTCCGTCTTTACAGAAGCACATGGCTAGGACTTCTTTCCCGAGGAGCCCCTGGATGGGTTTGAACTGCCTATCTTTAGGTTCACTGCTCAATGCTTAACCTTAAGGGAAGAGTTCTGGTCATAGAAAGATGTCCTTAGCTATATACTTTTCCCCATGTTTCTCTTGCGAAGTGACTGTTTGGTTTGAACTGCTGACCTTGAAAATACTTTAGAATATCAGGGTTTCTTCTCAGGAAATCCCATGGTTCATAACAACATAAACATAACGGTTTTCTTTTACTCATACTTTATACTGTTGTTGGGTGCCATCCAGTTGATTCGGACTCATAGTGTCCCCATGTAGTACAGAGTAGAACTGCCCCATAACGGTTTGTTTTTTTAAAGTTTTTGTTGTGAATTGAGTGAAAGTTTACAGAGCAGACCATCAGTTTTACATGGAACAAACCATATACTTTATTTCATTACAATGGTTGTAATCCCCTCCGTGTACCATCAGTTAATATTTCTCTCTATTCATTTTAGCTCTTTTTTAAAACACTCAGGCACGTATAATAATTTACACCACCAAAGGACACATTCTGCAGGCCTGCCTCCTGGCCGCCAGCTCTCAGTCCCTCTCTTTCCATGAATCTAGATTCCTCAGCTGTTCCCTCTCTCCATGCCCCCATCCCTGCCTCCATCTCTGGTGTCACTGCTTCCCTGGACAGGATCCCACATTCGGCTTGTGCTCTTCTCCCTTGATGGTCCTAGAGTCCTTTGTTTCTAGACTGTAAGATTACTACTCCCCCGTTTTTGTTACAAAATGTCTACCTTTACAATTTTGACAGTCTCAGTTAGTCATGATAACGATTACTCATTGTTGAATCATAAGAATCATGTCCCCATCTCTTTTCACCAGACCCGTCTAGCCAAGCTGAAAACTATTCAGTGGGGCACTCTATCTTCCCCCACACACTCTGAAACTAAACTCCCTCTTGAAAACTTGTAAGCCAGTCACTTCGTGCCTTTATCGCCCCCTCATTTTGGGTAGTCAATGTCTTAAGTTGCTTGTGCTTATCTACCCTGTGTACAGAGGGGATAGCATTGATACTTGATGTGAAGACTCCTTCCCTCTCTATTGGTATTTTGACCCCATAGGGTTTTCTAGGCTGTAAGCTTTACAGAGGACTTGTGGTGTGGTGCTGTAGGGTTAATACTGGACTGCAAGCCACAAGGTTGGCAGTTCAAATCCACTAGCTGCTCCTCAGATAACCCTATACAGGGTCACTATGAAATGGAACCGACTCGACGGCACTGGACAACAACGGCTATCTTGACAGAAGCACACTACCAGGGCTTTTACCTCTGGAGCCGCTAAGTGAGTTTGAACCACCAACTTCTCAGTTAGCCTACTGTTTAACCATTGCGCTCCCAGGGCTCCTTATAGCCCTGTGTTGGTTCTCGAGAACTCCTACCACAGAAACACCACAAGTGGAGGCTCGGACAACCAGAAATGTCTTCTCACAGTTTGGGGACGTGAAGTGCCATCCAGAGCGCTGGCTCTGGGGAAGGCCCTTGGCCCCTCTCAGCATCTGTAGGGAGGGAATGCCGTGTCTTGTCACCTGTGTTCCCCTGATTCTACGAGCTTCACATGGCAGGGACCCTAGGCCCAAACTCCACGCCCACTTCTACCTTGGGGACAGTATTCCCTCTGGGCTCTGCTGACTTCTCTCTCCTTTGACATCTCCTGTGGACTGCATCTGGCCTCATTAGCATCATGGAAGTCAGGATTTGCAGCACGTGGGACCATTCCCTCACCTGGGCTGCATACAGCCGTTCACATTATGTGCCTGATGGTATCATCCTGATCCCGTCAGGAAGATCACTACAGGGGAGCTGCTCAATCCTGGTCAAACTCCTAACCATCTCCAGTGCATACTGTGGTTGGTGTTGTTGGGTACCTTCAAGTTGGTACCAACTCATAATGACCCCATGCACACAGAACGAGATAACTCATGACGACCCCAC